CAGAACCCTAAGTATTATTCTAAAATAAAATAAGCGTAAGTTACTGCTTATAATATCAGCTATCTGCCAGTGAATGTCCCGTCAAAATTGGTTCAGCCAGTCCAGAAGATAGATGTAGATGTCTATGGGCCACAGCAACCACTTACCATCAGGTGAACTGTGTGCTCGTTTGTCACCCTTATTCTATAAAAAAAAACCTGCCAAGCGCGATGATTAAGAATAATCTTCCTTACAATGTTCTCATGTCCAGATTTGGGCTTTTACGGGGTGATGAAGAAGCAGAAGACCTGTGGTTGCTTTTTTTACAAGTAAACGGCTACTTTTCAGGCAAGGAGTACATATGGCTTGCTACCAGATTTTGCTGCAGCTATATTAGTAGTATGATTGTAGCACGAATGGGTCGGGAAAGGACCACGCTCTTACAGAGTACCAGCGTAAAATAGCAGATTAACACTGCTATGTTTTGTATGGTGAGCGTAGAGAACCGGAGACCCTTTTTACTGGAAAAGAGGCATTCTATCTTAGTCCTCACGTCTGACAACGCATCTGCATTTTGATTCTTTATGGAGGATTGATGTGGATATCTAGGGGCGACAGCATCCACTTACCATCAAGTGGACTGTGTGCTCGTTTGTAATCCTATCCTATAAAAGAAATCCACCAGCTTAGAAGTGGACGTTGTGGCTCATAGACAGACTCTGCATCTAAATTCAAAATGCAATGTCACCCTTGATGACTAAGATGGTATGCCTAGTTACCAGTAAAAAAAGTCACCGGCATATTAATTCCTGTTGCGCTAAAGTTGTGTGATTTACCATCTAGGACTTCATCGCCACTTACCTCCAGATAGGATTGTAGGACAAATGAGTAGTACTAATTAATTTGAGTCATTTTAGTCCATGTTAACATATAAAATTTGTCCCACCTATAAAAACCTATCGGATCCTAGCTATGAACCATCGTCTCGACAAAACAAATATGTTATATGGTCAAGTAATTTAATGTCACAAATCGTTCGGGATTGTAAATACAGTAAAACTTGGTTAAGTGGGACCTGAATAAGTGAGAAACCTCCATAGCTGGAACTCATGCTTAGGTCTCGACACTCTAGCACTGAATTACCTCCTGACCTGTATCATCATCATCATCATTACAGCCCTTCACAAGTCCACTGCTGAACATAGGCCTCCCCCAAAGAATGCCACAAAGCACGGTCCTGAGCCACCTGCATCCATCGACTTCCTGCATGTCTTACCAGGTCGTCACTCCATCTCGTGGGGAGACGCCCTACACTTCGCCTACCGGTACGAGGCTGCCACTCGAGAACCTTTCTTCCCCATCGGTTGTCGGTTCTTCGAGCTATATGGCCGGCCCATTGCCACTTCAGCTTACTATACTGATATATAGATTTATATAAATAGTTTTTGGGTTTTTTGACTTGAAATTGTCAGTAGCATCCCGGAGTCAGGAAGTTGGCGGCGTTTGACCGCCATGCTTCGGAAAGCAGGATCTCCATCCGGTCGTGTCGAATTACCGTCCCACCCGAATACAGAGAGTGAGGGAATAGAGACTGCACCCGTGCTTACACATACACTCGGGTACTATAATCCTGTACTGCGCAGATGGTTGGTCTCTGTTCAGACTGGCCGCTATGATTGAATTTCGGTCTGGAGGACATTTTAATATCAAATACACGATCCGCTAATGATTTCTGAATCTCGACAGCAGCGCTAACTACTCGATAGTCAGATTGTGAATTTAAACTATCCAAAAAACCAATCAAACACAAATAAATATGTCATCAAAATTGACCCAGCCGTTTAGGAGGAAAGTACCACTGAAAGGTTTCAAGACAGTTTTGAACACAAAGTCTTTATTTAATACTGAATTTAGCCTTGGTTGTTTTTTTTTTACTTCAGTGGATATCCAACATCTCAGTATCTTGTGACCATAAGTGCCGCAAACCATTCGATATTTAAAAATAAGTTAAGTGCGATAAAACCCACTAAATTAGTATTATTCGACTAATCAATTTCAAAATACAAAGCATTTGAAAAATTGATATATAATGCATCTTTATTGTTCATTCTACTGAATAGCTTTTAATTAAGTAATTAGTCCATATTTGTCGAAAAAAAAATTGATAAAGGGGTGATCTATTTCAGTGAGTATGGAAAGAGACAACTATTGGAATTTGCCCCCACAATAGCGAATGGTTATGTCACAAAATTAAATTCTACTGGCTGTTAAAGAGTTATTAATGTATATGGAGATATACGCGCTCATCCTCATATTCCCATTTATACGTGGGTCGAATGTAGTTAAATGCTACTGTGTAATCTGCATTTAGATTCTTAATAGAGAATATATGTAGATGGGCCACGGCAACCACTTACCATCAGGTGGGCTGTGTGCTTGCTTGTCACTCTTATTCTATAAAAAAAATCAAATATGTATATACCTAGTAATATCGGAGTAAATCTGCATTAAAGACCGTCTCTTCTGATACTATCCAACTGAAATACTTCCGTCTAGCATTTTAAAATATAATTTCTATTTATAACTCTTATCTTATGTGTTTCAGTATGTTCGATGATGTACATTTTATGCTATGTAAGATAGGTTTAGGATTTTTTTCATTAATAGATCTTCGTAATTTTGTCATTTAGCATATAAAAACATCGAACGTGCAATTATCCTTAAATTATTTGTACTTTACTTTAAGTTACGCAATCAAATATACTACACTTTACATAAAATAAAATTGAAAAGGTAAAAGAGCAACTTTGCACCTTATGATTTGCTGCGTATTCCGCAAAAAGCTCTTTAACACGTTTTACATTCGCTGTTTTGGATGCCGAATGACGATTTTCATCGTGGTTGCAGCATAAACGAATGCCACTTTATATTACCACATTTTGCTTTGCGGGTGCTATGAGAGGAACTTACGGATAATAACAGAAACAGCTTTTGTCATATGGATTTCGTTTACGCAGAAATGCAATACCCAGACCTGCAACAGGGATCAGCGTCAAAGATGCGATCACATATCTGCTTGCTGGATTTGGCAATTATGGCAAGTCTTTTCTAAAATGGGAAATACCCATGTCCACTTGTGGAATGTTGCCAGATTATAAAGAAGCTGAAGATAATGACGATAACGATAGCTATTAAACATTTTTTTTAAATAAAGGTTCCATAAAAGTATGGTTGATCGAAAAAACTCTGCGTAGAAAATAAATGAAAAAATGAAATACATAATGGCTCTCACGTTTATTTTTCCTTCAAATATATTAAGATTTATTTTATAAAAGTAAATAATATAAACACAAAAAATCGATATCACACTGATAATAACAACAACCAATTATTAAAATAACTTGCACGACAGGAATGCAACTGAGTAATGTTTTCAAATTAACATAAAGTAAATGTACATAGAGTATGTCAAATAGAAAATATGTAAATAAAAATATACATGGAAATTATCCATAATGTTTTTTTACTATCATGTTCCTACGATATTCAGATACGTAAAAAGGTTTCATTTTTTTAAGCAATTGCGTAATAAAAATTACATATCAAGTGATAATTTAATAAATCAACGTAGGTATTGTTAATTAAAAACATAATAAAAAATAGCGGTAATTACGCTCTAGCAAATGCTACAAATATTGCTGGTAAATAAAAAAAAAACAGAACCTAATATATTTTGTGACAAGTTTAAATACTGGAATGTCTACAATTTTATAATGACAACAAATTTTTATACCTTATTATATTTCGTTAAAACGAATAGTTGTAGATTCTTACACAAATAGCTTGAACGCAAACAAATGCAATTCCACCAGGTTTTGGTAACTTTTTAACAGATATGACACAATACAAAAATGTTTCAGATTCAACTAACGATGGTAAAATATTGCAATGATGCAGATAAAACTCAGACTAAATAAATAAGTATAAAGGAACCAATAATTATATTATTTTTTTTTATATTATTATAAACATCTGATATTGGCGTAAGCATCATAAAAGGAATATTATATAAAAGTATCAAAAATCTCCAACAAAAGAAACAAACAACGATATGTATAACATGCGAGACAATATCAAACACAAAATGGACTAATTATTTTTACAAAGTACAATTAATTTATCCTAAACATTACTTATGAAATAAAATGACTCAGTAAACTGGCCTAAATACTAAAATAAATACTTAGATAACTTTTTCAAATCAAATAATCTAATATGATACAGTTAGTCTTAAATTTATTTGTACATTTTAAATTTTGAGCTTCACAATCGACTGGCCGTTAATCCCATTAAACATTAAATTAAAACTGGTAATAACATTAACACTGGCATCTTATATGAACTGGCACTTTTGGCACTGGCACATTAAACATGACACTACTCAAATATCTAACATAAACCTAAGTTGCTTTAGAAGCTGATCATCGCAATTTTACTTTGCAAATTTACTTATATTAGTAACACCTGGTACAAATCTTCTACAAAAATTACATATCGTCGTCATCTTACGATTATACACACCCTTTAGATTCTCTGGAAATCTATTACTAATAGTGATAATTTTCAAGATTTCTATAATTAGTATGAAATCAACATTTAATTAATTCTTGGGTAAATAATTTTTGCTAAAGAAGTAATGACGTATTCGTCTTTAGAATTACAGTACTATAATGGAACTAAATTTCTTTATACATATTTTTATATTCTCTATATTTAATAACAATTGAAACTTAAATTTATGCGATTATCTAAAAGTATTTCTATTATTATTATGGTAGTAAGATCAGGTAATCTAGAAGAAAGGAATGCACATATCACTTAAATACTGTATGGCAGAGTATTTACACTACAAAATATGTGTACCTAATTAGGAATAAAATTTAAAACAAATTTACACATACATAAAAAACGAATTTGCGTTTTCCTATGAATCATAAAATATGAATTGAATTAATTTTTTTTTATCCAGTCATCGGAACTTCTTCCGTTCGTTTCGGGACAAGGCTTAAATCGAGAGGATTTTTCATCATGTCCTTTCCATTATCTTCATTTAAGTCAATACTCAGTTCAGGTTCCGAATCACTTATCTCATCTCTTTTAGGGCTTCTAAATAAAACAGCAGTCGATTTTATAGACAGGTCTATTGGCTGTTCTTGTTCTATTGCCACACCAGCAACAGCTGGCGAATGAAGTATCAGATCTCCTCCATTACGATTTTGCCACGTAGTTATTCCAGGTGGCATAGATCTAAAGTTCTGTATTGCCGTCGGTAAAAAGGGGCTTCGTCTTGGAGGGTAACTAGGTGTGGCAGTAGCTGTGCTATAAGGCGATGATGGCAATGTTGACGGTTTCTTTCTTCGTAAATCTTTATTTTGATTTCTAAGAACTTGCAACCGAACATCTTTTTCGCTGCACGGAGATGATGCTGGTCTAAAAATGCTTAAGCCACTAGTACTTCTAGAACTATTATCATCTTCTGGATCTGCTGATGAGGCTCCAGAATCTGATGGCGAGACACTTTGCCTCGTTACGTCCTCGCTAAAAGGATTTTTTTCAGAACTCTTATAATATTCTGCTAAGGCCGCGGCAGGTAACAAATTTGTTGGTAGGAATGATGGGTTAATAGTAGAATTAAACGTGGGAGGCGATTTACTGGTCTGCATTTGTTGCATATGCTGCTGTTGTTGCTCTTGTAAGAGACAGTGAATTTTAAACCAATTAGATCTTCTTCCATATCTTGAACCCGATTTCGACATACCGACTAACAAGCATTTCCGTAACCGGCATGCTTTGCAAGCGGTTCTGTTTTTCTTGTTGATGACGCATTCTCCATTATTCTTGCATTCTGATATTGAAGATAGATTGTTGTATGTTCGCCCGAAGAAAGACTGCAACAAGAGAAAATTAAAATTTTAATATATGGAAATTAAGAAAGGTAGTGTCAGGTTTACAAAAAAAAAGATTTCAAATTCTTATACGAGTTTCCTTAATATAGCATAAAATATCGACGGACTTCGGTCGGTACCCCATAAGAAACATCAATTTATAAACGTTACAGTTAAGGAGAATCGCATATAGATGCATTCAATTTGGTCCGTCCGTGTCCGAAATTAAAAACTACATTTTTCAAAAAGTCATCATAAAGAGCGCTTCGATCGAAATCTGGGTCATCGCGAATAAGGTCGTATCTCACACTTAAAATTGCAGAAGTGATCTTGCGTCCTGTTGCGTCTTTGGCGTAAGTAATGGGAGTGTTATGCGGATTTTTTAAATAAATTTGGAAGTTACCCCGCTGTGAGCGGCCTCTGCTCTTTTCTTACCCAATTAAAATCGTACAAAAGCGTAAAATATGTGATTGTGTTACAGTTTGGCTTGGTCTTGCCGTGGTCGGTATGCTTTAGTGCTAAATTATAATCTGTCGCATAATTTGGAATTATGACAATATTTTTTATTGCTTATTACATTTCAGCGAACCTTTTTTGTCTTACGTTAAGTAGCATTAAAATTAGCATTTTTGTTTAATCTAATGTAATCTGCAAATTAAGGAAATATCAGTTAGGGATCATTATTTATTATTTTTATGATTATGAACTGCATAAATTTATATAAACCATATTAAATTACTTTGTTTTTATTAGTACTATTTTATATAATGCTACTATTCTTCACATATCAAGGTAATATCGTGTTTAAAAGAAAACAATAGATTGATAAAACCACACATAAGGAATAGTTCGCAGTTTAATTTAAAAAAAAAATATCTTTAACGAAAAACGTTTACATCATAACGTATTGGGTAGGTATATTTAAAAGATTCTCAGTATAATAATTTACATAAACGTATAGCGTGGGCCCGAGTTGCTACACAAACAGTTAGCCCACTACGATAGAACCAGACAGAACGGTCATCATTCAAACCGAGATACACTAATTTGACAGATTATGTTACAAATATAGACGTCAATGTAACAGTGCGAAAACATTTTCAACACCCACAGATAATATTTATAGCGCACTTAAAACCAGTATTCATCTCAACGATAACATTTACAACTGGACAAAATTATGTATTCCAACAATTCGAGTACTCTAATCTGCGCGACTTCGACTAGTTGCGAAACTATAAGATTCTCTGACACAGAATGACACAGTTTTATTACTGTGTCCTATGAGCCTAGTAACTAAACTGAGGTAATTTTGCGAACGCATATATGTGAGTCACTAGATTAGAAATTTCAGATAAGCCTCTCTTCCTTATGGGTGCGGATCGCGCGTAACAGATACGACCCTCTAATTGAGCGGCGTCGGTCCTCGTTGCGTACTGTACGTGACTTGATTCAGTTTTGTTATTACGAGAAATATTACCGCGATAATTGTCTCTGGATATATATTTTATGATGATGCCAACATTTCTTTATTGGGGTCGGCCTGAAGTGCTTTTATCTGAGAGACTCTTTAACTTTTACTGTAATGGATAACATAAATAACAATACAATGCATTATTAGTTTTATATTTGACACTATATTGTAATCAAACTCTAGTATCGCTCCTAACAACTGAGTGGAGAGCTCTGTTTTCGAACTCAAATGAAGTAAGTTAAACGTCTAAATTAATGCGTTTTGGAACTTATCTGTCACTGACTTGCAAATCGAACTCTCTACTAAACATAGTGATTATATACTCTTTGCTCTCCAACATTTTCTACTTATTATCACATAAGTGCGAGGTATAAAAAAATAAAGTACTAGTTTTTTATTTATTTATTTACCAATTTTTTTTAATTCTGTGTCTATTTCAGTCAAACCCGGGTATTAGTTGTATTAATAGCATTATACGATAAGTTAATGGCTCTGTGGATGCCACACTTATTTTGGCTGTTTTTTAGACATATCATAATGTCGTTTGGTATTTTGCTTTTATAGCAAAATCCCAGAAAATGTTCAATGTTTGTCAATCAACAAATTTAGAACTGTATTAAAAGGGTTATTATAATACGAAGGTATACATCAGTGAAAATAATGAATGACATCAGTGATAATGACCTGAAATGAGATGATCATTACTATACTAGTTCTATTCATCATTGCCATTCCAGCTTATCGACGTCCACTACTGAGTAAAGGCTTTCACCATAGATTCCTCATATAGAAAATATTTGACATGGTTTCCACGATTGACAGACTGATTGGCCAAAGGATTATTTTTATTATTTTGGTTGTTATCAAGAAAATGCTGCAGCCCATCTTCTGTTTCATTCACCTTTGTTACCTCTCACGAAACCCTCGAAAAGATATAGGTTGTTGGATTATCTTACGCAGCCGCTTATTGTTAAATTTTATGTTTACACATAATCCTGCTGCGTTTCTTGCTGGTTCTTACCACGAAGGTATGTTTCGAACCCATGCTAAATAAACAATTGATTTTCAATAAGTATTATGAACTAATCTTTTTTTATAGAATAAGGGTGACAAACGAGCACAGAGTCCACCAGATGGTAAGTGGTTGCTGTGGCCCATAGACGTCTACATCTATCTTCGTTTGCGGATTAAAATGTAGGACTAAGATAGAATGCTTTCTTTCCAGTAAAAAGCGTCTCCGCTTCTCTACACTCACCATAAGAAACACAGCAGCTGCAACTTTACGCTGGTATTCTCTGAGAGCGTGGTCCTTCCCCGGTCGAGCCGAACCATTCGTGCTACAACTATACTATTAATATAGCCGCAGCATGGCTCTACCACATAAAAAATCTATTTTGATTATCACTAGACATGTGTACACATTTTCTGTGATGTAACTGCTGTTAGCCTGTCATAGCCTCTTATAGCTTCATCTGACTCAGGGAAAGGCAATGATGGGGATGAGGATGATGTTGGTTTGTGATTTGGTACTGTTACCAATCATCATGTCTCCTCTGTTGAAGTGTTTTGAGCTATCAAACCGCCGTCCGAATGGGGGTGTGTGAACCCCCGCCTCTGACTGCTCAGCTAGTGTCCGGTCCGGTGCACACATCGCGTCTGGTGTGCGCTGAAGGTGCGCGTCGTGCCCGCCTACGGGTGCGACGCGTCTCATCCGTTAACCTACTTGTGGTTGTCCCAATTGGTGTGGGTGTAGTGTCAGTGTTTGATGTGCCTGCGACATTTGGGTCGACGCGATCGAGCGAGGGTCTCTATGTGCGCTGTATGACGAGTGTATGTTGCAAAGCGGTTAAACATTTTGACTCATATCTGATAATACTTGAAGCAGTAAATTATGCACATCCCATTGCTGACAGTAGCTTAGAGACTGTACACTCGCCGTATATTTCACAGTACGCGAGAAATCCGGGTTCAATCCCCGCCGACACCAATGAAATTGTTAATTGCAATTTTAAGTGATGTTTACAAGGTGTACGTCGGGGAAGGAAAAATCGCGAGGAAACCTGCATGTTTAAGTAATAAAACGAGGACATGTGAAGTCCGCCAACACGCATCGGAGCAACGCACCATTCACTCCATAAACCTCTCTTATCTGGCTTTAACTGACTCTAACTTTACTTCTATATACCTGTGAGAAAATTTACTTGTATGTGTATATAAAAAGTTGTGTTCAAGGCCTACACCTCGGTACCTCACAGTTACTTCACTGACTCTCTATAGCTTCTGCTATTATGAGTGGGAATAGAAGAGAGGGTGGTACATACGCAGATGGACACCTAGACACAAAATGAGTCCTACTATCTAGTAGGTGATAAGACTCCTTGTGTCAGGTTGGATTGTAATCAAATACTAGATATCATCATCAGCCTGCGGCAGTCCACTGCTGGACAAAGGCATCTCTCAAGACGCGCCACTTAGCCCGATCTTCGGCTACACGCATCCAGTTTCTACCAGCCAACTTGCGTAGATCGTCGCCCCATCTGGTGAGGGGGCGTCCCACACTACGTTTGCCTAGACGCGGTCTCCACTCTATAACACGTCTACTCCACCGATTGTCACCTCTGCGACAGACGTGGCAGCATTTAGAAAGCTGCGTCAGATTTTCTCGTCGCCCATACCGCAAAGTCTGAAGACAAAAGTCTTCAACCAGTGCATCCTGCCCGTAATTACTTACAGTGCCAAAACAGGGACACTGACGACACGGCTACTCCACAAGCTCATAGTCGCTCAGCGAGCGATGGAAAAAGCTACAATGGATATGTATCATGCACTTTATATAAGTACAAGTTGCAAGTGATGCGTATGTATATTGTTGATACCTTTAAATTAATAATTAAGTAAATGAATAACGCTCACAAGTTATTAAGACCTGATATTTCGACAAGCTTATTTTACAATAATTATGTTTCTGACCCCACAGTCACGAAGGTACGGCATTATAAAATTACCAAATTTAGTATTCATTGATTAAGGTGCATATAGTTTGTTTAAAATACATATTGCATATTATTTTTGTTTTAATATCGCATTTTGATTATATTAAGTGCCATATGAAATCACAAATTGTTTCTATTTCATTTAATTTTATTTGATATTCGATTTATTTTATCTAAAATTCATGATAATGTCCTCCAAACCGAAAACACGGCGACTCAACAGAGAGTAGTTATCATCATAGGACCGGATTACAATGTGGCCAAGTGTATGCGTAAGCACAGGTGCACTCTCTATACCCGTACTCTCGTAGTCCGATGGGACGGTTATCCGACACGACCGGAAAGATATCAGGCGCAAGACCTACGGCTTTACGTGCTTTCTGAGGCACAGGGGTGAAACAGAAAATATTTTAATTAAAAAAAAACCAATAACTAATTCTTGGCCCGACCCGGGATTCAAACTCGGGACCTTATGATCAGCTATAGCGTTAACGACCACTAGATCAACTAGGCAGTCAATATTTGCTGTACATCAA